GACTCCATGACAATGTCCACATGAGGAACATCAAAAGAAGCAACTGCAGCAAGGAAAGTAATTCCAGTAGCTTGCCACTGGACTGACCATCAGGGGGGCAATGGACTAACCATATTGCAGCAAATAAGAGACAAAAAAACATTCACCATATTCATACACTGAAGAATCAGTAGGCACATTGCTTGGGACAAAAAATACAAGCATTCACCAAAAAAATAACCCAGATATGGGTAGATGTAGCTACACCAACATGTACAATGATGTACCAAAAAACAAAAATAGCATCATGGATACATAGTAACAGTTTATCTCCAAAAAAAAAACTAGAAACCATGCTGTTCATGACATTAAATCAGTTGCTCCACATTTCCTTTCTTTGCTTTTTTGGTCTTCTTTTCATATTTCCTCACCAATCTTCCTTCCTCATCCCTTGCATGGCCACATGTCCTATAATTGTGCCTCAAACTTTTACAGCTGCTGCATCTTTTTGTACCATGATCGAAACCTTTTTTTTGCAATTATGTCATCCAGGCATTCCCTTCGTTTATGTTTTTTGTGTCTTCCAACCTTTCTTAACTCGCCTGGAGCATACAATTTAGGCAATGGTGATTCCCCCCACATACAAGGATCCGAGATATGATGTATGATCCCATTGTACAAGCCTTTATAGTTTTCAACAGAAACCCATTGGGAGCAATGTAACGAGAAGCTGGAGGACTACTGATCCCAATGGTTTTGGGTTGCTGTGTGCTGACCGAGGAGACAAAACAGAAAAACAGAGAGCAAAAAAAAAACAGAGAAGAGAGGGAGAAAGACTTGTGCATATTTTTTAGACCAGCCCCACAAAGGGGGTTGAGAGGTATTGAATATATCATCATTTACTTACTTATAGCTGTTTTCCGATCTATTTGGCCGGAATATACCCCACTGAGTAATTACAATAAATTTTAAATGCCTTGGTGTGCTTTACAATAATTGAGGGACCTGGGAGTCATTACACCAAAATCTATGTCACCTCCGAGTAATTTTCTGGAAGAAAGAAAATGAAACTTTTGTGCGATTATAATTTATGTAGAGAAAAATAAAATGATATGAAGCACAATTTTTCTTAAAAATGAAAAAGAATAAACTTTAGAACAAAGTTAGATAGAAAACTGAGAAAGTAAAATATTAAATTCAATATTTGATTATCTAAATTTAATTACTTTTTAATGTAATATGAATTAAATATTTATTCTAACGTATATATGAACTAATTATTAAATTATTAAATCAATATTCTTATTTCATACTCCCTCTGTCCCAGAGTATTTGTCTACTTTCATTTTTACACACCATCCAATGCACTTATTTAATCAATTTTATCTTGTAATTTGTATATTAAAAAATTATAGAAATTATATATTGATAATCTATATGTTAAGACAAATCAAACAAGATCACACATTACTATATTTAGGCTTACACATTGAGAGAATTTGATGAGTCAAAGTGCTTAGATGAATAGTTCCAAAAGTCAAAAGTGGACAAAAACTGGGGGACGGAGGGAGTAAAAAATAATCATTATAATATGAATGATTGTTCTAATATATGAATTAACTAATTTTATTTCATTAAAAAATAATTATGAAATAAAAAATATTAATTATATTATAATACGAATTATTATTACAATTTTCAAAAATTATTATAAAGTCGGATCAAATTATTATTTTGAATTTTTAATTAAATCATAATTAATCAGATCATAACTATCAAAAAAATAACTGAACTGAGAATTCGTGTAAAAGCTTTTTTTTTATTATCACTGCTGCTGGGCTTGCATTGATCTTCATCAACCGACACTATTGTACAATTCCATGAGTTATCGAAGGTTTGACTCTACGTTCTCATTTTTATTGCAATGAATTGGTGTAGAATTTGATGTTAATATTCGACTCAATGTATACGATTAGAGTTTTCGCTCGATTGATCTTTTTTCATACTTATTTGCGCTTGGTAACCGTTTATGTGAGCCTGAATTATGCGAAACGTTAAACAATTGAGTTGATATAACTGACATAATACTGTAGTTTTAGCGAAACAAAAATGGATTGATTGGATCAACGAAAAATCCATATAAGAAAGAAGATAGTGGTATCATGATTCTCTCCTGTTTGAAGAAACCAGTTTGTAAGAAGTGCTCCTGCACAATGGCTTTTGAGGTTGGAATTGACAGGCAGTGAGGGACTGAGGGTTATTATCTTAAATATATTTTCTTCAATTCTTATGTTATCAGGCAATGTGCTTGCTGCAATGACATTTTTTTTATTAAAAAAGAAGTGATTTGAAAAGAAGTTACTTGGAAATTGTATCTACTCAAAGTTGGGTATATGAAGGCTAAGCATAAGTACAATAAATTACTTGTTGATATTGTACTCTTGTGTTGAGAAGGGGCGATATAGGAAATAAGAACAATGTTGATAGGTCTAAGGGCTTGGCCCATAGCTATGTGCTAAAACATATAATCTCATTTGCGTTATTGGCTCATATGCTCCAAAATACTCTATGACCTGTTGGCTTAGCATTAGTATCTCCACCAAGGCTCCAACATCTTGTCCTCTAACCCATAGGCTAGGGAGCAAAGGTGTTTCTTGGTTGCTTTGTTGGAGTTGTTTAGTACACCCATAAAATGCTCAGTTGCTCCTTACCTTAGCCCATGTTCTTTGTGCTTTCTCCATTCTCTTCTAGAGTCCATCCAAGATGGTGTTGTTAGGTTCTCGGCTTGTCCATTGGTTTGGATAAATGAGGAAGATATTAATGTGTTCTTTTCATTTAAAGTCAGTCCACTCTCAAACTATGTTTTCTTTAGACAACATATATCCCAGAAAGTTCTTGCTAGATGTTGTACTAGCCAAGGGATCCATCATTCCCTAGTACAAATAATTGTTACTATGCAAAACTTTCTACCCCTGACCGACAAAGCTAGTTGGATATCAATCAATATTTTGGCGAATGAGATAGACTGATAGACATAAAAAGACTAAGGGCCCGTTTGGTGAGGTTTGGACATGTGATAAGATATGAGTTCTGAAATCTAGAATAAATGATATGGTTTGATATCTGAAAGAAAAAGTTTGGAGAAAATAGAAACGAAATCGGAGGAGCACGCATTAGGTTTAAATACGAGAGAGACGATAGTGCCTGAATTTTCTCAAATCTTCTGAAGAACAGTTCTTCTACCATCTGCATTCTCTGTTCTCCAAAGTTCTACAGAGTTCCTGAGTCAAACAGACAACTAACCATTTCCATTTTTGGCTCCGTCGGAGGCTCGTTTAGTTTTATTTATTTTCAAATATAATTCCTACCTTTTCTTGGATTTTGTTTATGCTTTGTGAGTCTGTGAGCTTTTCTTAGGACTCAGTCTTGGATTTTGGCCTGAGATGTTCCTGGGAGAGAAGGAAAGAGATAGCCGATTCTTCTATGCTACGTGGAGAAAGAAAAAAGAAATAGCTGCTAATCAATTTTGATATCCAGAATAGAGAAGGGATATGGAGTAGCGGTTTTTTAGAGATATTTCATATCTCTAGATTTCGGATCTGATTTCTTTTTTATCTCAGCAAACAATTTTTCTTAAAAAATTGATATCCAAGATATGAAGGCCCATATCCGTATTGCTCTCCAAACAGGTCCTAAGGTGTAGTAGACTTATTGCATCCCCAATCCTTGGAGAACTGTTGGCAAGTGTCAAGTTCTTAGTATAGGCCGCACAATCGACGAAGATAGTCGACTAAAAATGATCTCAAAACACTGTCCTCCTTGACAAAGCAAATGACCCCTCATGGGTTGCTTGCATGCCTCAGTTGACCTCCTCTATCCTGAGGCGAGCTTGATCCTGATCTCTACCCATTAACAGGGAACCTAGAAAGAAACCAAGTGAAAAGCCCTTTTATCACCGTAAATCAGGGTGCCTTTCATCCTTGTCCTACGACAAAACTCATTCCATCATATTCTTTATTTGTCTGGAGATTATATGGTATTCCATTACTTGAGATTCCATCTTTAAGGATATCAAACCAGAGTAGATCACACAAGACCTCCTTAGTGTTCATTGTTGAAGAGTGTGATGCTGATCTGCTCTGATTTGGTTTAGTCTTAGTCTTGTTGATTTTTAAACAGTAGTACACATTCATCATTGTAGTACGAGCATTCACAGCAGATGGAGTGAAAAATAAGGACAGATTACATTGGAAGGATTTAAACATAATTATCTTTTTATGCAACATGTTGCGGTTATATGTCATAATTTAAATATAGACATTGCAAGATCTTCATTCACCTTCTTGCATTGCTGACTTATCACACTATCAAAGCGATTGGAAAAATATCTATGTAACACCAAGAGTCAAGACATAATGATTATCCATCAATTGCACTAGCAAAACAAGTACACTTATGGTATCACTTGAATATAATTGGATTGTAAACAAAACCCCAACACGAATAATATAAATGTATACTCTGTATATTTTATAATATAAGAAAGACTCTGCTGCTGCAAAGGTCACTGGCAACAAACACCAATGTCACAATCTTCCCTCCGTTGTCGTGGTGAAGAAGTCAGTTTTGGCCACCGACATTCTTCACTGACCTCCCGTTGCTGCCACCGTGCAGAAATCCGCATTGACCATAGTTTGTAAGGCGTCGCCTAGGTGATAAGGTGTTGTCCCTTGGACGCCTAATCTGCTCGCCTCACCCAGAATGCCTTAAGGTGTTCGGGCGCTCGCCTAGGAGTTGCCTTACATTGCCTTACTCTCGCCTTCACGCCTTGGGCCCCTTTAAAATTTTGAAAAGCCCAATTTTTTTTAGTGCAGCCCAATTATTTTGAAAATCTAATTTAAAATGTTTAAAAAGATTTGACTTAAACATGTGACCTACGATATATGTATGTGTGTGTATATATATATATGTATGTATGTTTGTATGTATGTATGTATGTATGTATGTACGTACGTGTGTATGTGTATATATATATAAGAATGAGATCTTATGAAAGAAATAAGAATGCATGTGGTGCTTTAGAATGTGAGATCTAGGGGCCATAAAAATTTGAAAAATAATAAAAATTGAAAAAATGCGGTTGCATTTATGTAATTAAATCAAACTTTGTAAAATGCAGTACCTGCTTTGTAAAATGCATCATGCGGAACTACCTGCTCTATAAAATGCACCATGACGAATACAAAATGCACCATTCTTATTTCTTATTTCTTAGGACGCCTAAGCGTGCGGCTAGTCGCCTCGCCTTGGCGCCTTACAAAATATGGTATTGACCACCATCATTTGTTACTAACAGACTAGCATTGTGTTACATATGGCTTTGTTGGCATTTGCTTCCACCAACTTCTTTGCACTGTCCAAGATGTAATTACCGACTCACAATTATTGACTCCCTTGCACCGTTCAAGATGCTCTCACTGACTCGCAATGACTGGCTCTTTGGAGACATCCAATCACCAACTCATGGCCAAGACTTAACGATGAACCGCGACTAACTCAGTAGGGTCTTTACTCAGTTCGCAAATGAAGCACTTTTCTGTGTGTGCAGATCTGTGAGCCATAGATCTAGTGCATGAAGTCGCCACTGACTGTAAAACATGATTACTTATTGCTGAAAATTTTTCAACATGGAACTAGTATCTTGGGATTGAAATAGTAGTGGTGCTATTCATGAACAATATAGACATGATTTAGTGATATACCAAGCAATTATAATTTCTATAAGCACATATTTTGGTAATCATGTCACATCGATAGCTTCATTCTTTTGATAGGCCAAAATGGAAAAATCTATTATTGAATTCACCATTAGGATGATTAGGTCTTTTTTTGGTGAAGTAATGTGACCAATTTCTAACACCAACTAAAACTATTCACGATAGGTTTCCTTTATATGCAGGGATCATCGAGTCGTACGATCTGCTCTCTTTGATAACTATGATAGTATTGAGGAAGGTGGTGTCAGGGCTTCACGTTCTTACTCACGTGACATTGATGAACATGATAATGATAAAGCTGTGGACAACTTACAAGATAGAGTCAGCTTTTTAAAGAAGGTAAATTTCTGTTTTGAGGGATCTTTTTCTCCTTCTATTGGTGCTGTTGCTAGCATAGTTATCACGGCGTCGCCTAGGCGGTGACTTGGGCGTCAAGTCGAGTCCTCTTGGTCGCCATCTTCATTTGCCTCGCGAGATCTTCCCTTGGCGTTGCCCGACATATATTAGCCGATGACTAGGCTTCTCGGCATTCTTCCTTCACGCCAATGACGTTTGACCCAAGTTGACTTTTTTGTTTAGTCAATTTCATTAAAATAAAAAAGGGGACTCCACATCCGAGACTCGAGTAAACTATTAGTGAATATAAACGAGTGAGGAGTGGCTAACCATAGCTTATGTTGAATCGGCGGATCTTGTAACGTGTAATGGCCACCCGTGCTTGCAGCAATTCATTGACAAGAGATAGCAACCTAGGAACTCAATCGGTCATTCTAATTGAAGCTAGCTTATGGTTTTATATCCTTTTTTTCTTTCGTTTTTTAGTACTCCCTTCGTCCCCGAGTATTTGTCCACATTTAACTTTTTTTGGTCAAAATTGGTAAACTTTGACCTTAAATTAAATAAAAATGATATTAGATATTGATACAAAAATAGTTTTACTAGATTTATATATATATATATATATATATATATATATATATATATATATATATATATATTATTTAATAATAGGTCAAAGGTTGAAAACAGTTGACCAGAAAAAGTCAAAACTGGTCAAATACTCAGGGACGGAGGTAGTATCAAATATTATGTACTTTATTTTTGCACATTTTTCCATTTCTTTCAAAGGTTATCTCATTATTCATACATCCCTTAGTCCTCACCTCTATTGTCTACCAATCTAAAAAAGATTGGTTAGTCATTTGTGGTTTAATAATGTTCTTAAATCTATTTTATTTTAATTATTTGTCAAAAGCAAATCTTTTTTTGTTAAGATGTTTTTGCGATATGTTTTTTATTTTACATCTTTTAATATGTTTTTGAACTTTGAAGTTTATGACTCCTTGTGCAATATTACGTGATATATTTGTATTGATGTTACTAATGTACTACAAATCTCATTTATGACTTGCCAGCTTGTCTCCTAAGCGGTGCCTAGTCGACAAGGCGTCCTTGCAGTGCCCTAGCGCCGTGATAACTATGATTGTTAGGGTTTTCCACTATTTCTAAGGTTCACACTCACTTTTTATGCGACATATGGCTCTAACCTCTAGAAATTCATGATTTAAACTTACATGCATAAAACATGTAGGCCTTGTTTGGAAATAGCATTTTGGATAAAATTTTAATGATGTAGATTAATTCTGAAAATGCTAACGCTAAAGGCTACCGTCAGATAGCCTTTTCAAGATGCTAACGCTAACCTCCAACGTTGTTTCCAAACAGGGCCGTAGCTTGTTTTTCAATTTTTTTTGTTTAAAAATTTCATTTATGACATGGTAATATTTGTACACCTGGTTTAATATGAACTTATTTAATTATTCATTTTTGACTACTTTTAAGGCATATGGGTCAAGACTCATATAATTGAGTTCAAGTCATCAAGAACAATGTCATTTTTGTTCATGGTCATACCATCTACTTCTAAGCTCTTTTTTTGGTCCAAGTATGACATTTGGATGAAATTGCAAAGAAACACCTTTATGGCCGCTTTGCGTGTAGGGTTTTGGATGGAGTTGGAGGGGAATACACAATTATGCACTTAAATCTTATCTTGATACACACACACACAAATCTGCCGGGTACCCTCAATGTTGTGATGAGAACTGTCAGGTCCCGTTATTTTTCTAAATATACTTCGGGGTACCTTAAATTATCCGAAAAATTACTAGGGGGTGACAATCCGTTCATGCCTCCGTTAGTTTCTCTATCCACTATCTTTTTTCTTCTTCTTTCCTGTTTCTTTCTTTCTTTCTCTCTTTCTTTCTTTTTTTTTCTCTCTTTCCAATCCCATTAGAGACCAGCCCCCCCCCCACCCACCCACCCAAATCCCCCCCTTTTTTCCTCTATTTTTTCTTTTCTTCTTCTTTTAATATTATTATTATTATTATTATTATTACTATTAGTTATTATTATTTTATTATTAGTTATTGTATTATTTTATTATATTTTATAATAACTATGATTATTTTACTATTGTATTATTAGTAATAAGAATAATAATAATAATAAAAGAAGAAGAAAAGAATAAATAGAGGAAGAAAAAAAGGGGGGAAGGATTTGGGTGGGGGGGGCTAGTCTCTAATGGGAAATGGAAAGTGAGAAAAAAAAGAAAGAAAGAGAAAGAAAGAAATAGGAAAGAAGAAGAAAAAGATAACGTATAGAGAAACTAACGGAGGCATGGACGGATTGTCACCCACTAGTAATTTTTTGGATAATTTAAGGTACCTCGGAGTATATTTAGAAAAATAATAAGACCTGACAGTTCTTATCACAAAATCGGGGGTACCCGACAACAATTTTTGTGTGTGTGTGTGTGTATATATATATACATAGCGGCCGGTTCCTGTAAGAATGGACCTTGTGGAGAGAAATGAGAATGGTGCATTTTTGTTCGCTAATGGTGCATTTTAAAAAGCATGTAGTTCGCCATGGTGCATTTTTTTACGCAGGTATTGCATTTTACAAAGTTTAATTAAATTATGAAACTGCCACCGCGTATTTTTTTAAAAAAAATCTTATTTTTGAAATTTGTATGGCCCTTAGATCTCACATTCTAAAGCACCACATGCATTCTCATTTTTCTCCTAAGATCTCATTTTCACTAGAACCTATATATATATATATATATATATATATATATATATATATATGATACGGTAAAATTGAAAGATTGGAGTAATGTGTGATCAATGATCATCCTCATATATATACCATTTCATCACCTTTTATTTGTTTAGAAACATTCTATTTATGTAGATATTGACTAAAGCCTCCAAAGTCTTCCTCTTCAAATCCCACCATTTGGACAGACACAATTTTGAATCCTAGTATTTCACATAGAATAGAATCAAAGTGGAGCTAAAAGAGTCATTTTTACAGTGTTTTAGCTTGGGTAAATAATGGACTAGATTAAAATGGCATATTAAAATTCCTTTTGCTTTTTATTTTCTATGAAGTTTTGGGAAGGAACGTAGAACATCAATACGTCAAGGGTCTAATGGAAAGAGCCTCTCTGTTTTTACAGGGTTAAGATTGCATACATCTTGACCTCCAGACATCAACGAAGTCGGGATTATATTTAGTTTGTTATTTTGAGAGTATTACAAACAAAGGATAAAAGATTTTTTTCTCAGTTTAGCACCGCGAAGCACTATGATCAAGTAAAAAAATCATTCTAGAGTAAGAATCTCTTAATAGCGTGTGATCATTTCATGTTTTAAATGCTGCTCTAAATGTTGAAAAGATGTGTAAAGAAAATTAGTACCAACTAATGGCGTGCGAGGTGGTTTTTTGGATTCTTATGTTGCAACCCATTACCTAGTTTGTGGTTCTTTTTCGGCAACAATCTTGACCTTAAATTTGCATATGTTCTTCCTTAGTTTTTCATCACCTTTTCTTCCCTACTATTTCATTTTTATACAGTATTCATTGCCACTACAATTTTACTCTTTAATAATGTGAAACCCCAATGGGAGCAACCATACTAATACAGGCATAGTATTATTTGAGTAGAAATGCTCCTAAATAGGAGTTCTAATGTAAGCAATGAAAGTGAAGTAGTCAATGGCATTTCCCAGCTAGTACTGTTAGTCCACAACAGTTCCCAGTTGGGCTGTTAGTCCACAAAATTTAGTAACTGTCCTTGTTAGTTCACATCAGTTTTCAGTTCTCCCTTCTCCCTGGTTTGTCATCGGCTCATTGGCAGTCCACAGCCAATTACCTCTTGAGACCAACAGACCTTTGTATTCTGGCATGAAGTCCCAAAATCTATTTTTAATCATAGGACACAAAATAATGATTTCCACAAGCATAATGATATGGTAAGTCCAGCAATCCAAGTATGGCGTACATACACAAAGCTCTTTGTTTTGTTCTACTTCCTACCCCTACATTCCCAACAAATTTTTTGTAACATCTCTTATCTTCTTAGAGTCTAATCATAGGAGCTCTAATTTCATCATGCTATTTACTTAAAAGCTCTTGATGCCTCAAGTCCTGAAATATTTATTTACAGTTAACAGGTGACATACACGAGGAAGTGGAAAGTCATAATCGAATCCTAGACAAAATGGTATTTTGTCAACAAGTACTTTGGGGCATTGTATTACAAAGTGTTATCGAAGCCTTGACTTTACCTATCAATTTAAATTAGGGGAATGAGATGGATTCATCAAGAGGAATCATGTCAAGGACCATGGACCGCTTCAAGATTGTATGGAAACTAAAACTATTTTATTCATCTTCATATCGCAACAATTTTTGTAATTTCTGGTTTTGTATTTGACTTTGATATATGGATTTTTTAGGTGTTTGATAAGAAAGCTCACCGGAAAACGTGCAAGCTTGCTGGGTGGTTTGTGCTTTCCTTCTTATTGATATACTATGTTTTTAGGTAAGCATCTATATTTTGATCTGTTGCCTTTAGTTATGGAATGTTGGCTCTCGGTGAAATCAGTTTCGTTCACAATGGTATCTTTAAGGTCACATGTAATTTTGTGCTTCTGTGGTATACCTGTTTCTTACTTCCTCGTTTTCATTTAAAATGTTGTGTAGATGTAAAGATTTTAAATTACTTATGAGATCTCTATTTATTTCAAGGTGTACTATAAGCTTTATTGTGGTTTGATTGATTTCTTTTGCATACCGGTTGCTTACTACCTCCTCTTTGATTGGTAGTATGAAATTAAAATTCCTTATGAGAAGATTTCCCATGGCTTGATTGGCACTTCAAATTTGGTGCTTTAGCCAATAAGTGCGAATCTTAAATATATGTGGAGTTGGCTACATAAACCAAGATAAGATCTCCTCAGGCCATCCACCAATGATAGATTCTGAGAATTGAACTCAGGACCTCTTGCCCTATAGGAGATCAGCATACCGCTAAGACCAACTGCCCAAATGCGGTGTTTTAAACTATCCTAAATAGTGGACTAAATGGCTGGTGCTGCGGCTCAACAAAATTTTCAACAAAAAAGGGTTGAGGGATTCCTAATCCTGTAAATAGGTGTTGAGAACTGACGAAACTTTATTGGGTTTCTAGTTCGTACACATATCTTTGAAGCATGTTCTCCTTTCCAAACAACCATAGGTGGTATAACATAAGAGCCCGTAGAAGAGTGTGAACTGTTTTTTCTACTAGGTTCGCTGGGATGCTTCGACTGGAGCAAGAATTTACAGAAAAAAGGAAGGCAAACATGTCCATCTTTCTTCCTCCAAGAAGTGATGCTGCACTAATGTTCCTAAATTCCATTATAGAATCTTTGAATAAATAAATAAATATAGTGTCTTAACTAGAGAGTATAGTATATACAGCAACAATCAACATATTGTTTCATTTGCTCGAAGCGATAAAAATAACTGAGGTTATTTTCTTTGCTTGCAGGTATCTCATGTATTTCGTGCACCTTTGAAAGTGTTGGTAGCCAACCTGCTATATGTCTGAGTTCAAATGTGGCATATGAAGGTAGTAGGAGCACAACATGGCGCCCAGTTGGCCATTTCAACCACACGAGAAGTTTGGACATGCTATTTATACCCCGTATGGTTGAGAAGGTATATGGTACATCCGGATGTACCTAGAGATAGGTACATCCCGGTAGTACTCATTCTGAAGTAAAGTAGTACTCACTCTCGTACAAATATAAACATTCATTTCGAAATATGTAGTTTCATTCTGAAATAAAGTAGTACTTATTTTAAAATAAAGAAATACTCATTTTTACACATTTGTCTAATATAATAATAATAAATAGCGTAGTGTTCATTTTTAAAAAAACAATACTCATTATCAAATAAGTAAATGCTCATTTTCAAATAAAGTACGGAGTATTGTTTAATGTTTTCACAATTGAAAAATTCAGTACCATCATTGTCCTTATGTTTCTTCTCTATTATCTCCTATTGTTAAGTTCATTCCATTCCTTAAAATCTGTTCAACTCCAGCTAGGGTTTCCAGAGCTTCCGCCGCCCCCACCATTGCCTTCACTTTCCTCGTTTTCGCCTCCTCGCGTCTTAGCGCCTCCCTTTGTCGTCGCCTCTCCTTCGTCGGGCTTCTTCGATCGTCATCCTCCTCTCCTCCTTCGCGAACTTCTTTGATCCTGCATCTTCTTCCGTTTCCTTTTACGGGCTGTACCCATCTTTGGGTACAGCCGGATGTATAATTAATTTGCGCATATGATTTTTACCTCTTCTAAGATCATAAGATCATCTCAAAACTGAAATCTAAAATGCAGTGCAAACCCAAAATGCAGGAATTCATTTTTAACCCATCGCTCTAAATTCAATCTGAAATCACAATATTTTCTTTTTTCAATTTGTTTTATAGATCTAAAATATTAAAAAAATGAAAAGAAAAATAAATGAATACATATATAAAATAAAATAATGGTACAAAGCTACACAAAAAAATGGAGTAGTGAATAGTGAAACACAAATTTGCATTGGGAAGATGTGAGACAATAAAAACGCATAATGCTTTGTCTTTGGGTGTGATTGGGGAAGTCAAAGCTGCAAAAAATGGAAGACGGGGGGGACGATTTGAGTTTCTCTAAGCTGATGGCGGAAATATGGATAGAAATCTCAAAAGAATATGTTTTGGATAATGATATTTGTACACCAAAAATTGTATCTCATTTTGTATCCTAAAGGCATGTATTAATATTTTGTTCTAGTGTGATGCTTTACAATAACACAAAATGCCAGTGAAATTTTTTTGTTAAACTAATATTTTGTATCAGTTTAAATTGTTAAAATATTAATGCACCCTTTGGGTATAATTTAGGATATATTTATTGGTGTACTTCCAGCATGGTTGTTATGTTTTTGTATACTTCTCTATTGGCCTTGTAGGGTGGTAAGAAGGCCGTCACAAGTTCTTTGCACTTTCACATCATCCAACCCTAGTACAATTATTGTGTCACTTCTAGTCAACAATCTATATCTGCTTATATTTTTGGGATAAAGAGCTAAAATAAGAGTAAAATATAAAAGATATTAAAATAAAAGTTGCATTCTTTTTATCTCCAAGATAGAAGTATAATACCAATATATATAATTGGAGTATCCAAAAATACAGTGTGATTCACTATACATTGTCATAATGTCATAGTGCAAATTCTTAATTTGAAAATAAAAACATTGAACTTTTATTTTTAGGATAAATTTTATGTTTTATTCTTATTTGAGGTGATTTTTTTGTATTCATAGAATTTCACTTTAACATGATTTTGGAGGATATTTTAAGCATCATCCATTGGGAGTATAGGTAAGAATTTCACTTTAACCTAGAAAAAATATTCAAAACAGAAAGTTTGTTAGCTCTCTTATTTACGAACACAGCTAGTTTTCCAATGAACCATTTTAAATCACTCAATCCGACGTAAAACGATGGAGTTGTCATTATTTTACCGAAGTTGTGTTTTGCGGAACGAAAATTCCAAACAGTCCTGTGCAACGATACACAAATGCTGTTGAATGGTAGTGCAGTACCCCACGTATAAGCCTATTATTAAATTCAATATATAGTTGTGAGAACAACTTTTATCAATCCCAATCACTCCACAATGATTCCTAGGGTTCCTAGCTCTTTGTTCTTTTGGTTAGAACGTACTCCATCCGTCCCAAAAAGTCTTTCCTGTTTCATTTTTTGCGCATCCCATAAAACATTTCTACCGACATCTAAAATGTCTAAAATTTACAACATTTCTTCTTTATTGTAGGTAGAAGTTAATTTAAAAGTTTTTTTGGCATTAAAGGCGAGATAGAAGTGTTTTATGGGATGCACAAAAAATGAAACAGGAAATACTTTTTGGGACGGAGGGAGTAGTAATTTTTTTTTTGCATTTCTTACAATTTCTACCAATTATTTTATTATATCATGAAGTTGTTTAATTAGAATTTCTTTGTGAATGATAAATTAAGCATTTTACTCTTTGTCCCAGTATATTTGTCCAGTTTGACTTTTTGAGTTTGAGCTTTAATTAAACAAAAGTTGTAATGTGTATTAATATAAAAATGTTTTTATTAGAAAACTTTCACAATTTTATTTTATTGTACTAATATACAATACAAATTGAGAGTAACAGAAGCTCAAAATTTGTCCAGTTTGACTCAAAAAAGTCAAACTAGATAAATACATTGAGACAAATGTAATATATTTTTTACATGAAAATTAATCTTTAATCTGTACTAGATATAGAAAAGTGTGTAAAGGTTAGACTTTATCATACAATTATCTCAAATGTTGTATATTTAACTCACAAAAATTTAACTTCGTTCCAGAAATATAAATACGAGTAAGGTTCGGGCTTTTTCAAGCAATTCTTGGGAGTCAAGCCCATCTGTAAAATACTCCGGGGTATTATAGTGCTCGCATGGGTAGCTCAACTGGTCCAAGTAGAGGATGTCAAGCCCATTGATCTTAGGATCGAATCCCAACAGCGACAGTGTGAGGGTTCTATTATTTCTAATAGCTTCTTGTGTGCACTCACAGGGCAGTCTCTCTAAGGACCAGATTGAGATCTACCATGATTTACCCTATCACAATCTTGTCGTGTCGGGTTGGAAAGTTGATAGCTTTCAATCCAACCTAGGGTTAGAAAGAAACACCACAGTCAATAGAGAGTCTATCCAACAAATATAACGCCCTATAGACCAGCTTAATTGATAAGTGATATTTTAAATAAATAAATAAATAAATATTACTCCCTCCGTCCCAAAAAATTTGTTACGTTTAGAAAAAACTGCATCCCGTAAAGTCCGTTACATTTCTATTAAAAAACCACTTTTACCCTTTACTTTTTCATACCATACCTATCACATCATACCTTTTTTCTAATAATCTACCTATCACATCCTACTTTTACCCATCACATCAAGGGTATTTTTGGAAAGTCAATACCAAAATATCCCTCCCTTAATTTTCCAAAAAGTCAAACCGTCCCATTCTTTTTGGGACGGAGGGAGTATGTATTAAGACCACATTATTTTAAATAATAAATATAGATATTTTTATCTCTTTATGTTGATTTCAAAAGATAATCTATTTTAAATATAGAAGGATGTTTTCAATAACTGGCTTCTAGATATTTATTGATTAAGGGAGCATTCTGTTCAACTTATTTTTTCAGTTTATTATTCATTCTTATTAAAATTATATTAGATTAGATTAGACCAGATCGGATCAGATCTAATTTAGATCAAAATAGATCAGATCAGATCATATCCAATCAGATCATATCAAATCAGGTCTAAACAAAATTATTATTATTATTAATATTACTATTATTATGATTATAATTATTATTTCTATTGTTATTATTATTATTGTGATTATGATTATTACTATTATTAATATTAATTTTAATATTAATATTCATATTAATATTATTATTATTATTACGACTATTATTAATATTGATATTATTATTATTATTATTATTGTTATTAAAACTATTTCTATTACTATTACTGCTACTACTCTTACTATTTTTAATATTTCTATTATTATTATTATTATTATAGTTATTATTATTTCTATTATTATTATTACTATTATTATTATGATTACTATTACTATACTATACTTTTATTTTTATTATTATTATTATTATTATTATTATTATTATTACTATTACTGCAACGATTATTATTATTAACATTTCTTCTATTATTTCTATTATTATTTTTATTAGTATTTTTATTATTATTTCTATTTCTATTTTTACTATTAACATTAATATTTCTTTTATTATTACTATTACTCCCTCCGTCCACATTTAAAGTTCCTGCATTGACCGGGCACGGAGTTTAATAAAAGTTAAAATTTACATTGACTTTTCCAAAATACCCCTCAACCTTACCCACGCCTCTATCCACTGAGGCCTGTCCCAAGTTCGTGCAGGCTGCAGCCCAACCCCATAGTTTCAGAGCGAAATTCCGGCAATTGAAATCCGGCGAATTTCCGACCAATGTCACTACAAGAAACCTGTCAATTTGCAACGGACAATTTCCGTGGCAGATTTTGAAATTTCGTGGCAGATTAGCAATCTATGACAGAACTGCAACGAATATTTTCTGTCGCATAAAAGTTGTGGCAAATTGAAAATCTGCGACGGAAATAAGATTCCGTGGCAGATCTGCCACGGACCTGCAATGGGTACCTTCGTATTTTGCACCCCAAACATCTGCGACAGAAGTATTGAAACCGTCGCAGATCTGCGACGGAAATAGCGACGCGGATGTCCGTCGCAGATAGGCGACAAAACGCAGCAACAAGAATTTCCGTCGCAGACAACCTGATCACAGCACCAGCATTTTCTATTTTTTCTATTTTTAGGCAGTAGCAGGGGCAACACATTCAAATTTCACACGCATAATTCTAAACAAAATTTCAATACGGAATAGATAATTCAAAACGAGATTAGTTAAACCTTCACGTGCAAATGTAACATAATTCATAATCTTGTAAAAACACAAAATATTAAAGTGCTTGTTTCAAATGTCAAAGATGTCAACAAATCCTGGGCTGTCCCGCCCCTCCCATTCCATCGTCATAGCCTCGTGGAGGAAGATTTCCACCATATAACTTCCTTATTTCCTCCTGAATCGTCAGCGACAAGTTTGAGGTTAGATTATCAAGTTGTTCCTGCAGCCTTTGGTTTTGTTCTTTAAGTGCTGCCATCTCCGCCGCGCTGCTGCTACTAGTGCTGGAACGACGAGGTTTGGAGGACGGATTGATCTTCTTCATTTTTCGTGCATAGTAACCAACTCCAGGAACACGGTTCTTTGCGTTATGGCCCTCGACTAGCAAGTACCATATTTCTTCGTCGGTGACTTTAAGTCCATTTTGTCTAGCCTCCTCGCGCAGTTCGAAGAATTGTGCCTGCAATATATGATACTTAATAACACACAATAACAACGTAACTATAATAGCGTGTCAAAATAGCAATAAGAACATGAACAACATCAAACAACACAAGTCATGGTCAAATGACAAGAACAACACCATCAACGCAACAACAAAAACAGTGTCATATGACAACAACAACAAAAACAACAATAACAACACAAGAACTTAACAACATTATCATGGATCGATAAGAAACGTAATATCTAGCTAGTGATGACAGCACCATCAACTCAACAACAAAAGTAGTGTCAACCCTATAACAACAACACCATCAACGCAACAACAAAAATAGTATCATATGTCAACAACAACACCATCAATGTAACAACAATAATAACAACACAATTAACAATAACATAAACCGTAAGAATAACGTCAACCAAAACAATAAAATTACACAAGAAAGCGACTACATTATCACCCTTTAGAAGCTTAAAGACAAAAACAACAACATTATGAGCATGAACCCAAACTATTTTGCAAATTGTGGAAAGTACCTGTAGCTCAGCATGTCCTGGATCCACCTAAGTCTTGCCATCGTGCTTCTTTGTCTTTGTGTGGATGATAACCTCATCCAACTGCACAAGCGCCCCTTTCTTCTTAGCCTTCAAGTTTCAATGAACATTTCCATTACATTTTAAATTTAGTGTCCACCGAATAACAAGTGCAAAGCTATTATTTTATAGAATATATCTTACCAATCGATTCATATTTTCAGAAAATGGAATTGAACCTCCGCAATAAGTCCCAAGAGCAGGACCATCCTCTTTTCCCTTTCTTCTGTTCTTCTTCTTCGTCTTAGTCAACTTCAAAAACTCTGGATCCTCTTCCCAAACCTATATTTGGCTCTTCTTCAAGAACAGAGTTTATCCTAGTCGGGCCGACTGCATCATAAATCATGTGTACAAACTGTTCTCTACCCGGGACATGTGATACATCTGAGGCATCAGCTTGATGAGGGACTTTACATCGTTGTGGAGGTACGTAGTCACCATGATTCTCCCCGTGACATACCCAATCAAAGTAATTGGGTGTGAATCCAAACCGCAAAATGTGCTCCAGCATAATCTTTGATGAGCAAAACTTGATGTTCTTACATTTCTTGCAAGGACATCGCATTTTCTGGTTATCCAACCTATCTACATTGGGACTTGACTCACAGTACTCTACAAACTCAACCACGTTGTCCACCCATTCTTGACTAACAACACCTTCTCTCTCATATTTCTTATACATCAACTCACGATTTTCGAATGGACTCATTCTAGAAACGCCTGGTAATTGAAAGGCAACAAACAACAATCATTTAGCCAAGAATATCAATGACATTTATACCAACAAACCATACCTACAATAAAGACGATTAACAAACGACAATTTGATTAAACCACAAACAACACTAATTTAACTATAGATATGAACATATTATACACTAAATTTCACAAAATTCAACTAAAGTTTACCTAAATTCACAATAAATGTCAAATTTACTAACACAATTTTAATTAAAATTTTAACCAAAAAGTAATGCAATTTTTACCCAATTTCATGTCAATTTCATCTCATATACACACAATTTAAGTAAATTTCACCAAAATGCACTCAATTTCACACAAAGAAATTCAATTTCACCAAAAATTAAATTAAACACAAATACCTACGGCAAAGATGCAGAGGATGTCCGGCGGGGAAGAGAAACGGCTGGCCTGTAGCGGCGTCAATGACGGGTGGCGACGGCTGGTGGACGGCGCAGGTGGAGCGGCTGGATATGACGGTGCGGCTGGGGAAGACGGTGTGGCTGGCGGGGCTGGGCGGGATGGCGTGGCAGGAGGGCTGGCGTGGCTGGCGAGAACGTTCGTCGGTGGCGAGGAAGGGCGTTGAAGGCTGGCGGAGGAGTGGCGTTCGCAGGACGGCTGACCGGGAGAGAGACGGGATAGGGTTGAAGTGAAAGACGAATGGCTGGGAAAATTTCAATATCGATTATCACTTCAGAAACTGCGACGGATCGGCGACGGATATATACCTCCGTCGTAGATTATCAGGTCAAAAATTGACCAACTTAAATTTGCGACAGGCACAAATAATTCGTCGCTAATTTGCGACGGAAAAATAGAGTCCGCCGCAGATTATGTTTTTTTTCAAGGATTTCAAATCTGTCGCTGATTCGTTGCAGATCTGCTACGGAAATGAGTCTGTAGCAGATTTCCGTTGCAGACGAGACAAATTCTTGTAGTGTGTGAAATTCCGGCGATGAATGAGATGAAAAAAAGATTTGAATCGGATTTCTTCATCGACTCCAAAGAAATGAAAATGAAAAAGATCTGAAGATGATTCTTCATCGATTCACAGATCTAGATCTGTTTTCTCAGATCTGACGATGAAGAAGAAGAAGAAGAATGGAAAGGACAAATCAAAAGGGGGAAAAGAGGAAGAAGAAAAAGAAGAAGAAGAAGAATAGATATGAAAAATCAAAAGGGGGAAGAAGATGAAGAAGAAGAAAAAAAATCGGAAGGAGATGAAGATGATGAAGAAAGGAAAATTCAGAAGGGGGGAAGAAGAAGAAGAAAGGAAAAATCTAAAGAAGAAGAAGAAAGAAAAGTAAGAGAAAACCAGAAAAGGGAAGAGAGAGAGAGAGAGAGAGAGAGAGAGAAGGAAAGAAGAACAAGAAAAGGAGAGAAAACTCAGAAAAAAGAATGAAGGTGAGAACGAGAAAAAGGAAAAAAAGAAAGAAAAAAAGAGAGGAAAAGAAAGGAGAGATGAAAGGAAAGGATAAAGAAGGGTATTTAAGTCTTTTTAATAGAAGAAAGTTGCCAAATAGGAAATGGAAACATTAATTGTGGACGGAACAAAAAGGAAAGTGAGAACTTTAAAGTTGGACGGAGGGAGTATTACAAATATTATATTAATAATTTTAATTTAAATTGAATGTATATCACACTAGATTAGATTATACCAGATCAAATCCAATCAGATCAGAATGAACCATATCAGAACTTCAAAAAGTCAAATCAGATTCGACCAGGTGAATAGAATGTGGTCTAAATGAATTAATAATAATTTTGACAAACCCGGAGGTTAGAAAATTATGTTTTGAGAAAAATATTTTGACGAAATCGTAAATTTAGATTTGACTGCATATTTCCAGAAACACAATCAATTTTCAATTCGAATATGTTTAAGGGGGAAACGCGTACTATTCGGATCAATTATTTAATGACAGGGTAACATGAGTTTTGTCACCCCATTTTTTCCACATGTTTCACATGCCACATACAACCATTGGTACTTCATTTTCTCCTTTAAATAAAAATATTCCTCCCCTTTCCCATTTTCCTTCATACTTTGTATCACCAAGAACCATCTCACTCTCGTCTCTTCCTCTCCCTCATAATCACCCAAACTCTCCATCTCTCTATCATCTACCTAGAGCACATGGACATCATCATATCGGAAGGCTCGCCAAAAGGAGGAGCATCGCCGGAAAGGGAAGGAGGAAAATGTGGTGCTGATTTTTGACAGCACCTTCATGGGGCTAGTCAGGATTGAAGAGCACAACCCCTCGAGTGCGTTGAGGAGGGCAATGGTGATTCTCATGTTCAAGTGGATTCAGAAGAAGAAGAAGATCTTGACAAGGAAGACTCAGTAGATAAAGAGTCAGAAATAGTGAGATCGATAAAGATGGACCTCTTGGTACCATCGGACATTATGAAAAATGATAACGATGGAAGATGATGAAACTGGCATGCCTAGGGTCCCTTTATATAGGGTAAAATCTCTTTGGAGTATGCAAAAGAGGCAGAGAAGTCAAAGCGAGATATGTGATTGGCGAGAGAGTTGGTTACGGATAAAAGGTAACGTGTTAGGGTGCGCAACGGAAATACAAAATTTTATATATCCTAACATGATTACCATCCCAATAACTCGTACGAAAACTATAGTAAAAGATAGAAGGTTATACCTATTCCGAAAAAGTGGAATTGACGTAGAGCGGGGAGAGGCTTTGAAAGCACGAACGAAGTCGAGCAAACGACCGTCCTCGAACTTCGACACACGGACAAACTCTAGAGTCTACCTTAACCAATATGCTAGTACTTGCTAAAGTAGTATAAAATATAAAGATTATATTATTGGGATAATATAAAATGTATATTAAACTTTGTAGAAAATATATATTTATCAATATAATATTTCTACACTTTAAAATTGCCTTAGAACACAATGAGAACTTTCTCCCTTTCTCTCATTTGTTTGGCCGAACACCCACGTACACAATGGGAAGAGATTCTTATTTTTTTTTCCATAATGCTCTCTTGTGCATGTGATCCTTCCGCTCACCAATATGGACAAAGTACACTTTGTAAGTGTAACTTACTTACACACACACACCTCACACAACTCACATGTTTAATTCGAAAATATGGAGGGAGTATTTTAAATTTTACTCTTTCAAATGTTTAAAGTGTATTTTATTTTGACATCAAAATTTCTCAAAATAAAATACTAATAATATTATAAAGTAAAAAGTACACTTTAAAAATATTATTCTGTCAAAATAATTATTTTCATAATTAAAGTGACACTTTAAAATATTTGTTTTCTCAATAATGTATATACACACTACATATATAGATAAACATATATTTGTATATATGTAATATATATATATATATATATATATATATATATATAAAATATTATAAATGTTTATAATATACTATATATATACACACACATACATATATATTCTTAAACATTGTAGAGTATAAACTATAAATAAGTAGAAGATACTAAATATAATAATTAACATAAAATAAAATAATTACAATGCAGAAACTTGATAAAATAACAGACTCATTCTTTACCAGGCTCAATGTAGAGAAAACTATTTGGGTAGTATCAAGGATACCACAAGCTTAGATGAGGATACCTAGTTTTTGGAAAAACTCAATCGGATTTGGGTAGTATCACTGATGCAAGAATATTAGGTGTTGGAGAAGGTAGAGATGTGCACATATGAGACATTGATCATGACTTAGAAAATAATGCATTCATAATCCAACCTCAAAGTGATCCATATTTTCACTTCACATCACTGCTCCTATCTTCTAAAAGTCATGAGGTTCCCATGTAAAAAAATCCAAACCAAGAGAAAAAGAAGTGTGTATGAAGAAAGTGGCATAGGGAATCAATAACCTGCTAAAGAAAGTAGCATATGGAATATACAATATGAGATCCCATCATGGATACCACAAGCTTATATGAGGATACGTAGTTTAAGGCGGTTGAGTTGCTTGACACCAAAGGAAAAAAAGATGTGTTCTTGAAGATATCACCTGAAGAACGGTTAAGTTGGATATGCCACAAAATGAGGAGATATATTAGGATGAATGAAAGGTTTCATGACTTTATTTTGAATGTTTTATCTATACTTTATTTAAACAGAAGGAAAACCCCTATTTCGTTTTCCCGCCTAAATATTTTTCACTCACAAATGGTAATTGCTAAACTAAAATAGGTAAGTGTTTAATGTCAATCACCTATTAAAAGGTAATTAATTTTTTTAAATTTAACGCGGTACCGTGTGTGAAAAATTAAACACACGTGAAAACAATTAAGATGCAATGTGTGTAATAAAATAAAAGGTTGAAATGATAAGTAACACCAAAAAGGTGTGTAATAAATTACAATGTTGAAATGGTATGAAACACCAAAAATGTAATTTATATTTATAAATTAAGATGTAATTAAAAATAAAAAAATGGTAAGTAACACCAAAAAGGTGTGTAATAAAATAAAATATTAAAATGATAAATAACATTAAAAACGTAATTAATATTTACAAACTAAGATGTAGCGTGTGTATAAAAGCGTAATCAAAGGTATATTAAATTTATTAAATTTATGATACGGTGTTGTAAAAAATTAATTAACATTGTACCGTGTTTCATTTTAACTTCATATGTATTTTAAATAAAATGATTTTAAATAAAATAATTATCTTATACATGGTTTTGGTAAAAATGAAAAATAAATACAGTGTAAGTACCTATTAAATAAATAAAATAATTTTCTTATTTTATTATGTGTGCAATAAAATGGTAAGTAAAACAAAAAAGGCATGTAATAAATTAAAATGTTGGAATTGTATGTAACACAATAAACACCAAAAATATAATTTATATTTATAAATTAAGATAAAAAACACAGAAATGGCAAGTAACACCAAAAAGGTGTGTAATAAAATAAAATGTTGAAATGGTAAGTATACCAAAAATGTAATTATTATTTACAAATTAAGATGTAACATGTGTATAAAAACATAATTAAAGGTAATTAAATTTATGATACGGTGTTATAAAAATAATAATTAATACAGTACCATGTTTCAATTTTAACTTCATACATATAATAAATAAGGAAATTTCGTTAGCTGTGTAAATAAAATAATGATTTTAACATACTTCATTTTTCTATATTCTATTAGATATCATTATCTATCATACAAAAATAATCTTAATTTAGTAACGTAAATATGACCCGTGCAACACACGAGTGTAATACTAGTGTGAGTTTGTTTTGGTTGAGAATTTAAAATACGCGTGATTTATTTAGTTGTTTTAAAATATGTTTGGTTTTAATTATTTTCAATTATATACAGGTGTCAAGCTTCGAATTTCAAATATTTTTGGTATCTTCTTATCAGGACCGTCTCCGAGAAATTATGGGCCCTGGACAACACCGAGAAAATCGGTCATCGTGTCATAATGAAGCAAAATCTATAAATTATATTTTTAATAATAAAAAAATTACTCTGTACAATAGTAATAAGAATAATAAAAAGTCAAATGTGTAGTCTTATAAATCTATAATTACATACATTAATAACTAGCCAAAGATTTCTGAAGTTTTTCAAGCATTTTTGAGATCCAATTGGTTGATATAGGACTTTGTACTTTTTAAATATGTAAATTTTATTTTTAATTCTACACTAATTTTTAAATAAAATAATTAAAAATAATTACAATCAAACATTATAAACAATAATAGATGATTTAAATTGAGACAAAAAATAATTAAATAATAAATAAATATATGTAATACATTTACAAAAAAGTGGGGCCCCATCTACTATTGGGCCCTGTCCAAGAGGCCATCTTGCCCTTGGCTTGAGTCGGCCCTGCTTCTTATGGTATGTATACTCTCGTATTCGAGTTTTGTAGTACGTTCTTATGGTATAAACTCATATATTGATTTGCTTGTTATTTATGATTTGTCCTTATTTTAGATAAATGGAAGAGGAAGTGATAGAAATAGAGAACTATGTTGTTTAATAGTTTTATTTTTAAATTATTTTTGAATTTCGAATAATAATTTCTTTTGTGTTGTCTTTAAATTGTCATTGAAAAATTTTGACACACTTAAAATATAGTTTTGAGATAATAATGTTTTGAGTTAAGTTTTTTTATTGCTTATGACAATGATCAATATGTTATGTACAAATTTCTTTTGATGTTCTCCATGTCCTTTGATTATCCCCTTAAATTAGACCTTTGCTTTTCCCCTTTATAAGCCTATATATAGAGGCACTATATGTTGAAATGGATGATTCATCTCTTTAGTCTCTCATTGCATTCCTTCTCTTTTCATTCTCCATTGTACTTTGATCTTTCATTTGTGTTCTTATCAAGGTATATGTCTATCATTTTGTTCATAACAATATTTGTATTATCTTTATTTCACTTATTTCTAACATGTTATCAAAACGATAGCAAAAAATTCTAATTTTATAGAAATTACTCCCCTTCATCTTTTGTCCTTATTGATATTCATGTTATAGATATATACATATACATTTACACTTATTTATTTTAGTTTTTTTAGTGAACTTGAAGATATATTGAATCTAAAGATTGATCCTAAATATATTAGAGAATTGGCATGTGAAGCCTACATTATGTGTTAAAATTGAAGGTTATATTATAAAACTTAACCTGAAGTTTGAGTACATATTATGTCGAAAAAAATTTCATTTCTTTAGCTTTTTTCTCTTTTGGCTAGTGAACTTGAAGTTCATATTCTGATTTTCATATGCTCGAAGCATTAACAGTGAAATTCAAACATGAAGATTTGAGTATGCCACATGAATAAATAGGTGACATTATTATTTACTATGCAACAAATAAATAATAATAATAATAATAGTAATATTAATATTATAGACTTATTATTTGTGATTATGTAATGTGCTCTAATTAATCACTACGTCCATAGTTTTGCTCTAATTGTAACCTCCGATATGATGATGATAATAATAATAATAATAATAATAATAATAATAATAATAATAATGCATAATAAATAATAATAATAATAATAATAATAATAATAATTGAGACCCTTCAAGTACCTAATCCGTTTTTTAATAAAAAAAACCCTATTATTCAATCAATACACATTAATTTATTTATTTTTCACAATAATAAAAAAGAATCAACATGTTCATCAAAACACAATATATGGGTATATGAGATACTAGCTAAGGTCTTATAATATTCAATTACCACCTTAAGTGGCTGATTTTTAGTATAAAAAATCTCATTAAAAAAGAGACGTTTTGATATTTCAAGACCTTTGTTCTAATTGTTGGGAAACGAGGCTTGGATAACGCAGCAGAAAACAAAAATTTATTGTCCAAAACTCGATTCCACCCAAGAACAACTTACGTAAATTACTAGCTATAGTAAGAAATTTACCTTAACGGTGAAAACGAAGAACGGAGGAACGGTCGGGGATGGTTTTGAGGAGATGAACGTAGCGCCAAACGTATGAAGCCTCCAACGTATCCACACGAACTTGCTCTGGAGTCCAAAATTAAACTTGTGCTAGCAAGTTTAATATAGGATAGTAAAAACTATAATAATACTACTTTGGGAGTAATAAATATATAGTAAAATATTTATCTTATAAATATTTTTTTATAATATTTTGTGTATATTTCTAACACTTTAGAAAAACAACTTTGAACACAAAATATAATTTTCTTCTCTCTTCTTTGTGATGGCCGAAA